AGTGGATATATGCATTATTAGCTGAGTTGTGAACTTTTTTGTTTACAAATTTACAATTGAGTATGCAAATGTATTAGCCGTGTAAAAACTAATATAAATACAAATTCTGACGTGGATACATGCATTATTAGCTGAGTTGTGAACTTTTTGTTTACAAATTTACAATTGAGTATGCAAATGTATTAGCCGTGTAAAAACTAATATAAGTACAAATTCTTCCATGGATACATGCATTATTAGCTGAGTTGTGAACTTTTTGTTTACAAATTTACAATTGAGTATGCAAATGTATTAGCCTTGTAAAAACTAATATAAATACAAATTCTGAAGTGGATTCAGGCATTATTAGCTGAGTTGTGAACTTTTTGTTTACAAATTTATACCTGAGTATGCAAATGTATTAACCGTGTAAAAACTAATATAAATACAAATTCTGAAGTGGATACATGCATTATTAGCTGAGTTGTGAACTTTTTTGTTTACAAATTTACAATTGAGTATGCAAATGTATTAGCCATGTAAAAACTAATATAATTACAAATTCTGAAGTGGATGTATGCACTATTATCTGAGTTGTGAACTTTTTGTTTACAATTTTACAATTGAGCATGCAAATGTATTAGCCGTGTAAAAACTAATATAAATACAAATTCTGAAGTGAATGAATTATTAGCTGAGCTGTGAACTTTTTGTTTACAAATGTACAATTGAGTATGCAAATGTATTAGCCTTGTAAAAACTAATATAAATACAAAATACAGGCATTATTAGCTGCGCTGTGAATTTTTTGTTTACAAATTTACAATTGAGTATGCAAATGTATTAGCCATGTAAAAACTAATATAATTACAAATTCTGAAGTGGATATATGCACTATTATCTGAGTTGTGAACTTTTTGTTTACAAATTTACAATTGAGTATGCAAATGTATTAGCCGTGTAAAAACTAATATAAGTACAAATTCTGAAGTGGATTCAGGCATTATAAGCTGATTTGTGAACTTTTTGGTTTTAAATTTACAATTGAGTATGCAAATGTATTAGCCGTGTAAAAACTAATATAAACACAAATTCTGAAGTGGATACATGCATTATTAGCTGAGCTGTGAACTTTTTGTCTACAAATTTACAATTGAGTATGCAAATGTATTAGCCGTGTAAAAACTAATATAAATACAAATTCTGAAGTTGATACATGAATTATTAGCTGAGTTGTGAACTTTTTGTTTACAAATTTACAATTGAGTATGCAAGTGTATTAGCCATGTAAAAACTAATATAATTACAAATTCTGAAGTGGATATATGCACTATTATCTGAGTTGTGAACTTTTTGTCTACAAATTTACAATTGAGTATGCAAATGTATTAGCCGTGTAAAAACTAATATAAATACAAATTCTGAAGTTGATACATGAATTATTAGCTGAGTTGTGAACTTTTTGTTTACAAATTTACAATTGAGTATGCAAGTGTATTAGCCATGTAAAAACTAATATAATTACAAATTCTGAAGTGGATATATGCACTATTATCTGAGTTGTGAACTTTTTGTTTACAATTTTAGAATTGAGCATGCAAATGTATTAGCCGTGTAAAAACTAATATAAATACAAATTCTGAAGTGGATACATGAATTATTAGCTGAGTTGTGAACTTTTTGTTTAGGGTAAGGTGGGGTAAAGCCGACAGTGTGGGTAAACCCGACCTCCCTCTGTTTTCGAAAATCGGAAGCACTACGCAAAATAATATTAGTGTTGTCGTGTAGAGCATCGAAAACAATGTAAATGGTGGTATGACAGCATTTTATTAGTCAACATTGAGATGGTCAAACGACAACAAGTTAGTTTTCACATTTTTGAATTTCATTTTTGTGCATAATTAACTGCAGGATATTTCTTTTTGTCAAAGCTATCGCATGAAAAGGTAAGTGGATTTAGATTCTTTGAATAAAGTCCTATAAAGTGCATATAAGTTTGGTTCATTTTTTTCATAATTTCTTTTTTAATTGCGTTTTTATGAAAAATTACGTGGTGGGGCAAATCCGACCCTAAATAGTGGGGTAAATCCTGCCGTAAAAATCCAAAAAAAACAACAATCACACCAAAACCATCAACATCGCAGCCAACCAGACGTTCAACTCGAACCAAAAACGCCAGCAAGCTATTTGAGCAGCGAATCAGATGATACTGATTAATTATTTTGCTATTTTAATTTTTTTAATTCTTTTATCTTTTATTACCATTATATAACATAAAATTGATTGATTTATCATTGCAAAACCTATATTTAGGTTATATCTGTACTAAATCAACCAAAAACATAGGCGGTCGGGTTTACCCCATCATTTTTGAACATAGCAAAAATGAACTTTTTCGTAAAACGCTTGTATCTCAAAACTTTTCAACGGTATGAATAAAATGCTATGCATAGAAAGTTGCGCAAAAGTCTAACCTTTAATTTGGTATTTATAACGACTTGATCCGATGTAAAATAAGCATTTTATAGCCAAAACCATTTACGAGGTCGGCTTTACCCCACCTTACCCTACAAATTTACAATTGAGTATGCAAATGTATTAGCCATGTAAAAACTAATATAATTACAAATTCTGAAGTGGATATATGCATTATTAGCTGAGATGTGAATTTTTTGTTTACAAATTTACAATTGAGTATGCAAATGTATTAGCCGTGTTAAAACTAATATAAGTACAAATTCTGACGTGGATACATGCATTATTAGCTGAGTTGTGAACTTTTTGTCTACAAATTTACAATTGAGTATGCAAATGTATAAGCCGTGTAAAAACTAATATAAGTACAAATTCTGCCGTGGATACATGCATTATTAGCTGAGTTGTGAACTTCTTGTTTACAAATTTACAATTGAGTATGAAAATGTATTAGCCTTGTAAAAACTAATATAAATACAAATTCTGAAGTGGATTCAGGCATTATTAGCTGAGTTGTGAAATTTTTATTTACAAATTTATACCTGAGTATGCAAATGTATTAACAGTGTAAAAACTAATATAAATACAAATTCTGAAGTGGATACATGCATTATTAGCTGAGTTGTGAACTTTTTGTTTACAAATTTACAATTGAGTATGCAAATGTATTAGCCATGTGTTGGAATATCATTCCAACAACAAAAAATTTGAAATCAGCTTGTATTATATTAAGACTAATAACTGAAATACCTTTACCTAATTTACACCATGAAAACCCTTGTAATTAGTTAAGACAAAAAACTGAAGACTTATACCTAGTTCACACCTTAGAAAGAAATGAACGTGAAATGGAAACATTTTAACTTTTAGTATTAAGTCTTACAAATACTAAATTGTACAACCCATTAACGCATAAGAATATGCGGTCACTTGAAAAGCCAGCTTTTTCCGCCGGCCATTAAAACCGGCACTTTTTTGCCTATACTTTGGACCGACGTGCATGTGTTTCTCCTGATCTCGGCATTTTTTAACCTGCCATCTGAACTCTACAATAAAGGCCAACCGCGCCTTTATACATGGTCCTTCGACGTCGACAGAACTGGACATCTTTCTGGAGAGTTTTTTGTGCTGGCCCGAGCGCAAAAGAAGTGGACATCTCTTTTGGATTTTTCTTTGCTGCCCCCAGAGCGTGTGAAAAAAAGTAATCCTCGTGGCTGACCCTACAGACACGTTAAACTCAACCACTTTTAAGCTCTCTTTTGCACAAATAAACGGAAACCCACACTTACATACATACACATCCAGTGCGTTATCTCGGAAATCATTTTTTAAACCTTTTTTGCACAATAAATGCCCACACATACATACATACGCAGTGCAAGATTCATTAGTTTGTTTACTCACAGTGATTAGACGTGTTTTTCCGAGCTCCAAAAGAAAAATATTGTAGACAGCTCGAAAGACCTTAAAAGGTGACATTACTATTTGTGAGACAACTGGGGAAAGGTACGTACCAGAATCGACCCCGGCTGGCTATCCGGGCTCCTCGAATCTAGGCACTTGGAACCGCCATTGGAACGAGCGCAGCGAGCGGCTCTATTTCCCACGAACGCTCTCACAGCTTGGAATAGTTTCCACACGCCACTTTTTCCCTCGCGTTTTTCCCTTTTAGGCGCAACACACGATCAGCTGATCATAGTGTTGTGCAGCGCATGCGCAGCGAGCTTTCGCACCCGCGCAGTATTGGGAAACGCGAGCAGACAAATTCCCGCCATAGCCAGAACTTAAATTTAGATTTGGATTTGGATTTGAATTTGGATCTGAATTTGATCTTGAATTTGAATTTAGATTTTAAATTTTGAATTTTCAATTTTGAGTTTTGAATTTAGATTTTGAACTTAAAATTTTATACTTTAAATTTTGAATTTTAGATTTTAAATTTTGAATTTTGAATTTTAAGTTTTAAATTTTGAATTTTTAATTTTAGGTTTTAAGCTTTGAGTTTTAAATTATAAATTTTGAATTTTAGGTTTTGAATTTTGAATTTTAGATTCTGAATTTTGAATTTTAGATTTTAAATTTTAAATTTTGGATTTTGAATTTTAAATTTTGAGTTTTAAATTTTAAATTTTGGATTTTAAATTTTGAATTTTAAATTTTGAATCTTGGGTTTTAAATTTCGAATTTTGAATTTTAAATTATAAATTTAAAATTTTTGAATTTCGAGTTTTGAATTTTGAATTTTAAGTTTGAATTTGAGTTTAGGTTTGAATTTGGGCTTAGGTTTGGGTTTGGATTTGAATTCAAGTTTAAATCTAAATTTAAGACTTGATTTGATCTGGATCCAAGGTTTAAATCAAGCTCGGATTTGTGCTTAAATTAGGGCTTAGGAATTGTCATCCACATTCCGCAGTTGGCTCCGGTGGGGCTAAGAGCACAAGGCCAAGGATCTCGCCATTTTCCAACCCCCCCGCTGAGGCGGCGCCAACCAAAAGGGGCTCTGGGGACCGAGAAGGAGCGGTATAACTCCCATCAGGCATTCGCAGGGGGAAATCCCCGCGCACCGAGGGACCCCGCTAGGAGCAGGTGCGATGAGTGAGGAGAAGCTGCGATCAGGCCGGGACGACGAGACCCAGGCACTAGCAGTAATGAGAGCTGAGCAGGAGCTGATGCGGGACTTCCAGCGACTCAAGCAGAAGGTCCAGCACTCGCCTCCGGCCAGCGCGCCGGATATCCACCCGGTGTCAGCGCCGCCGAAAGTGCATCTGCCGGTTTTATGCTTTGGCGACATAATCGAAGATCAGGCAACCCCGAAGCGAAGCTGGGACGCGGTAAGCCCTGACGGGAAGCAGGCCGAAGCCCACAAGAGGCAAAAGGTCGAAGCTAATGCCCCAGCGCTAGTCGAGAAGCTAGGAGCAATGCTCGACGAAATGATTGCGAAGTTTACCGACACTAAGAGCAACAACAAGAAGGTAGTACGGCACGTCACGCAGGGGACGATCGATTCGATGCAAGCTATGAAGAAGCTGCAGCTCGAAATCGTTGCCGCACTCGCTGACGGCCACATCAAGGGATCCACTACGAGTGCAAGCCAGCAGACCACCCCCACGCTGGCTACCATGAACCCTAGTGCTGTGCCTGAAAACAGACCGCGAAATGCGGCATGGCAGCAGGTCAAGGCTAAACCCAGACCTAAGAAAGCAGAAGTCAAAGATACGAGCGGCGATAACAATGGGAGCCGTGCAACTCACCCTGCAATGCCCAGGAAGCAGCGCGCCGACGCAATTATAATCAAATGCAGCGCAGGAACATACGCAGACATGCTCAAGATTGTCAAAACTGAGCCCTCTCTACAGGGACTCAAGGACAATGTGCAAGGATTGCGGAGGACAGCGAACGGTGGACTCCTCCTAAGAATGCAGAAAAACCTGGACCCATCCATGCAGCAGCTGCAAGCAGCCCTAAAGACTGCCATCTCCGGTAAAGCAGAGGTGGCGGTTATGCAGGAGACGGTCCAAGTGGAGATCCGCGACCTAGACGACATGACCAGCGCGGATGAGGTCACCATGGCCCTGTTTGCGGGAGAAGAGTGCGACGTACCACGAGACGCCTCACCCAGACCCGAGCATGCGCGGAGGTTGCTCGAAAAGGGCAGAATCCGGATAGGATGGGTCGTATGCCGTATCCGAGAAAAAACTGAGCCAAAGCGATGCTACAAATGCATGGGCTTCGGACACACCTCGGCACGATGCCGAGCCTCCGACGCAACAGCTAAAGCCACACAGGAGTCATGCTTCAAATGTGGTGGCATGGGCCACAAGCACAATACGTGCCAAAACAAGCCCAAGTGCATCCTATGCACCCGAGGAGGCAAGCACGCGAAGGAGGCAGAGCACGCTACAATAAGCAGGACCTGCCCAGAATACCAGAGAGCCGTCAAGTATATGCAGAATGGTTAAGTTTCTCCAGCTTAACCTAAACCACTGCAGAGCAGCCCAAGACTTACTGTCGCAGACGGCGATTGAGCAGAGAATCGACATCGCTATACTGAGTGAACCCTACAAGGCAAAACCAGAAGGAGTATGGCAGCAAAGCGCGGATGGCGGGGCTGCCATCTGGAGCTGTGGACAGCCTCCGGAACACCTATCGCAGAGAGCTTCGAGACCTGGCTACGCCAGGGCCAAGTGCCAGGCGACTACAATATACAGCTGCTACCTTCCGCCAAGTATGCACATAGATGCATTCAAGGATGTAATCCAGGAGATTGCCCAAGACGCTCGGGGACGATCCCCGGTAATAATTGCCGGGGACTTCAACGCATGGTCCACCACGTGGGGGAGCACGGCAACAACTCAGAGGGGAACTGCCTTACTAGATGCCCTGGCGACCCTGGATGTCTGCCTTCTCAACGACGGAGGCAAATGCACATACAGCAAGGCAGGCCGAGAATCAATTATCGACCTAACCTTCGCCAGCCCGGAGCTCACTAGGAGCGTCTACTGGGAAGTCACTGACCTCCTCACCTACAGCGACCACGCAGCGATAGTGATAAAGACGAGTCACTCCCTGCCGAGCCTTCCGAATCGGCAACCTGCCTACAAAGTAGGCACTCTAAATGTCGAGGAACTCCTAGAAAACATGGATGGCAATACCATTTCTGGCGACGCAAACACTTGCGCAGACGAGGTATCTGCGAGGATCAAGACAGCTTGCGATGCGGCAATGGAGAGCTCGACTAGAGGACAAGGAAGGCGACCAGTCCTCTGGTGGAACCAAGAGATAGCCACAGCCAGGAAAGAGTGCATCTCTGCGAGGCGCAGGTGCCAACGAAGCCGTGGACGGCCCATGCAGGAGCTATTTGAGGCTCGCTACAGGGAAAGAAAAAAAGCCTTAAAGGTGGCCATTAGAGCAAGCAAGCGGGAGTGCTTCCAGCAGCTGTGCGACGAGGCGGACCAGGAACCTTTTGGATCTGCCTACAAGCTCGTCATGGGTAAGCTCAACAGACAGCCAACCCCAACAGCTCAGGAGCAGCTTGGAGCGATAATCTCCACCCTCTTCCCTGCACAGCCGCCCCTAATGCCACCCAGCATAACGGCGAGCGAAGCTATCACCATCAGCGAAGAGGAAGTCATGAGCGCGGTGGCCAGTAGCAAAATATCCAAGGCCCCGGGACCAGATGGCATCCCAAACGCGGCACTGCACGCCGTAATCAGAGCAAATACGAGCCTATTCACAGAGCTGTACAACAAGTGCATCGGCGAGCGTACCTTCCCGAGAATTTGGAAGCAGCAAAGACTTGTGCTTATCCCGAAGCCTGGTAAACTGAACGACGATCCTTCCTCATACCGACCCCTCTGTATGCTAAACACATTGGGGAAGATATTTGAGCGCATCATCTGCAGCAGACTGGAGAGAGAAATCGAGGAACGCGGAGCACTCTCGGGCCACCAGCATGGGTTCCGAAAGAAGAGAGGCACAATCGACGCGATCCGAGAAGTGACCCAGCTTGCAGCAAATGCGATCGAAGGCGAAAGATGGCAGGGTGGCACTAAGCAATACTGCCTTGTATGTACCCTCGACGTCAAAAATGCATTTAATTCGGCAAACTGGAGCCTAGTCCTGCAGGCATTGCAGCGCGCTGGCATATCTGGATACCTGATTAAGTTAATAGCCGACTATTTCAAAGACCGAGTGCTCCTATATGAATCTGATGCCGGCCACCAACAGCACCAAGTCACAGGAGGCGTACCGCAAGGCTCAGTTCTTGGGCCTATCCTGTGGAACGTCATGTATGACGGGGTTCTCAGGCTCCCATTACCACCTGGCTGCGCGGTAGTGGGGTTCGCTGACGACATCGCACTGGTCACGGTGGAGAAGCACCTAACCGAAGTCTCTACAAAATGCAGCCGCGCCATCGACATACTGATGTCCTGGCTCGCAGACAACGGGCTCTCGCTGGCCGAGCACAAAACGGAAGCAGTGCTCATAAGCAGCAGAAAAATTGTAGAGAAGGTGAGCTTCAGGGTCGGCTCGACTACCATTGAGTCCACCCCGGTGATCAAGTACCTGGGAGTCATGATCGACCACAGGCTGAACTTCAAGACCCATCTGGAATATGCTGCGGCCAAGGCATCCAAAGCTACCGCTGCCATTTCGAGGATGATGGCCAACAACCGTGGCCCCAAGCAGCACAGCAGGCGACTGATAGCGACAGTGGTGACCTCGACCATCCTGTATGCCGCGCCTATATGGGCTGATGCCATGAAGACCGTTAGCTACAGCCGGCAATGCAAGTCTGTTTACAGACGTTGTGCACTGCGAATTTCCAGTTGCTTTTGCACGGTCTCGGAAGAGGCGGCGCTAGTGGTATCGGGAACCGTACCGATCGAACTTCTGGCAGAAGAGCGAAGGACCGGAAACTCAGGCAGCAGAACCCAACGGAGTGACACTATCGCACGGTGGCAAGTGAGATGGAACAACGCGAGCACAGGCCGATGGACCCATAGGCTCATCCCTGACCTGGTGCCCTGGATCCAGCGTCGCACTGGGCAGTTGGATTTTCACACCACGCAGATCATAACTGGCCATGGATGCTTCAAGGCTTACCTGCACAGGTTCAAGCACGAAGCCAATCCATACTGCGACTACTGCGGGAGCGCAGTTATCGAGGATGCGGAGCATGTCTTTTCGCGTGCCCTCTATTCTCGGCAGAACGAGCTGCGCTGGAAGCAGCCACGAATCGTCGCCTTACACCAGGAAATCTAATCAGATGTATGCTAGAGATGCCCTCCAATTGGGATGCGGTTGCGGAAATGGCAGCCACCGTGATGCGAGAGATGAGACGCCGGGAGCAGATCCGACGCACTGAAGACACCTGAAGGAAACCGGAAGAGCGGAGCCCTGAAGAGCGGCAACTGACCGCCAGCCGCCCCGTGAAGTATAGCTTTGCGGCAGTCCCGCGGGAGCGGACACTTCTCTTTCTTACTCTACTACGTATGTATTATACTTATATCTTTTAAATAAAAAAAAAAAAAAATACGCAGTGCAATTCTCTTCATTATATTGGTTTTCTCGAATAAATGCCCACACATACATACATACATACTCAGTGCAATTCTTTTTATTATATTGGTTTTCTCGAATAAATGCAGACCCATACATACATACATACCCCAGTGAATGTGCTGTGCAAATAACTACATACATACATACATCTCAATAAGAACCGTGGTTTTCTTGCGCAAAAAAAACCGCACGCACGTGCATATGTACATACATAAACCGCAGCTAGTGCGAGTGCATACATACTTTTACACATACATATGTACGTCAGTCCGCTTATCACTAAATTTTTGCACGTCTACATACACACATAAATCGAAGTTAGTGCGAGTGCATACATACTTTACACATGTACATCGGTCCGCTTATATACTACTTTTTTTGACACGTCTACATACACACATAAATCGAAGTTAGTGCGAGTGCATACATACTTTACACATGTACATCGGTCCGCTTATATACTACTTTTTTTGACACATCTACATACACACATACATCGAAGCTAGTGCGAGTACATACCTTTACATATATGTACGTTGGTCCGCTTATATACTTTTTTGCACGTCTACATACACACATACATCGAAGCTAGTGCGAGTACATACTTTTACATATATGTACGTTGGTCCGCTTATATACTACTTTTTTGGCACGTCTACATACACAAGGAGACATAACCCTACTTTGTCTTTTCTTTGGCTTATATGCACCCCATTTATTCACATCCACATACACAAGGAGACATAACCCTACTTTGTCTTTTCTTTGGCTTATATGCACCCCATTTATTCACCTTTACATACACAAGGAGACATAACCCTACTTTGTCTTTTCTTTTGGCTCATATGCACCCCATTTATTCACCTTTACATACACAAGGAGACATAACCCTACTTTGTCTTTTCTTTGGCTTATATGCACCCCATTTATTCACCTTTACATACACAAGGAGACATAACCCTACTTTGTCTTTTCTTTGGCTTATATGCACCCCATTTATTCACCTTTACATACACAAGGAGACATAACCCTACTTTGTCTTTTCTTTTGGCTTATATGCACCCCATTTATTCACCTTTAAGGCGACATAACCCTACTTTGTCCGCTAGGAGCTAAAATCAACCCTTTTTTTATAAATACACTCCAGATCACTGATATCATTTGTTGTATCCCATTCGATTTTTGCCTGATTTTTCACAATGTCTGCCCAACGACGTTTTGATTTCTCTACAAGCCGAGTGCTGCAGTTTTGTGCTAAATCTCCCACCTTCACAATAGACACCAGAGAATCCCTCGTTACTGAGAGATTACGTCGTTTGGACACTCTTTTTGCTGAAGCAGATCAAGATTTTCGAAGCTTGATGGTATCCACTGACGAGGAGATGTCTGCTGACAGGGAAGAGCAAGTCAGTTTGACCTTTTCTACATGCGAAGACGAGTTTTATAGAGTCAAAACTCTGTTACAAGATCTATGTCGTGGAATCCAAGGAGAAGTTCAATTTAATTTAAGCGGGGACCCAAACTCGTCAGCCCTTGCTAACACATCGATGAATTCATGCCATATTAAGGTACCTCCCTGCGACACCGAACTTTTTAGTGGTTGTTACGAAGATTGGCCCGCCTTTAGGGACATGTTTACTGCTGTATATAGCAATCACCCCAAGCTCACAGCTGATCAAAAATTGTATCACTTAAGAAGTAAAACCCGAGGAGAAGCTGGCACTATCGTCAAACAGTTTCTACTGTGCGATGAGAACTTCGCTCCCGCGTGGGACGCCTTGTCCAAGCGTTTCGAAAACAAACGTTTGCTAGTAGACACGCAGTTGAAAAGGCTCTTTTCCATGGATAAGGTTTATAAGGAAGATGACGAGGGGATCAAGAGCATTCTGTCCACAGTGACACACTGTCTTTCAGTACTAAAGGCTCAAACAGTTCAAACTTAAAATTGGGACCCGTTGCTGGTTCATCTATGCTCATCAAAATTACCCGATCAGACGCTCTCCCTTTGGGAACAATCTCTCGACTCCCGAAAGGATTTGCCGACTTGGCAACAAATGAATGATTTTCTAGTGATTCGAGTAGAGGTACTAGAACGTCTTTCTTCCATTAAGCCTGTGAAATCTTTTCACCAACCACCCCTCAAGTCATCCAACAAAACTAATGCAGTAGCACACACCACGATGGCATCAGACCCATGTAAACATTGTAAGGAATCACATCACCTACGACAATGCAGTCAATTTAGAAAACTTAGCCCGAACGATCGTTTCCAATTTGCGAAGTCGGCTAATCTTTTGTATTAACTGTCTCTCATATAATCACACTGCAAAGGAATGTAAAAGTGGGAAAAGTTGCAATACTTGCCACAAAAACCACCATTCCTTATTGCATTTTCCTCCGAGACCAAGACAAAGCCCAGAATTAGCTCAACCATCCAATGTTGTAGCACATCATTCCACTCAAAATCGGAATGTCATTCTCCCAACGGCATTAGTCCGTGTGCTTCATAGAGGAGAACTATTCTGCCTCCGAGCCCTGATCGATCAAGGATCCCAGCGCACCTTTATCACAGAAAAGTCACAACGCAGACTTAAGCTGCGCGCTCTTAAACACTACACAAGCATCTCCGGAATGGGAGGCAAACTTGTTAACTCGTCCTCTAAGATATGCCATCTGGTACTCACAGACAACCTCAGAACTAAAGAAATTTCAGTAGATGCAATTGTACTCGAGAAGCTCACAAATCTGATCCCGGCAATAAGTACTCCCAGACCCGCAGATAGCTGTCTCATTAATCTCGACTTAGCTGACCCGAATTTCTCAACCGCTGCTGAGATTGATCTCATAATTGGGAGTGATATTGCCCCTAAAATCTTTCTAGAGGGCATTCGAACTCCTCTCTCTCAAAACCTACTCGCTCAGTGCACCATATTCCGATGGATCGTAAGTGGCTCTTTAAGCGAGGCTACCACATCCAACGTTTGCACATTTTCCACTTGCGTAGAGGATAATTCCGACAACCTCGGCAATCTTCTTCAAAAATTTTGGGAAGTGGAAGAGATATCCGTCCCAAAACAAACTTCTCACTCGGACCAAATTTGCGAAAAATTATTCGCCGAGACGACCCAACGACTGCCTGATGGACGCTATATGGTCCGCCTCCCTTTTAAATCCGAGTTTCCCACCTCACAACACTTGGGCTGCTCTAGAGTCATTGCTAGATCTCAATGTCATCGCATGCAAACCACTCTATCCAAAAATGAGTCTCTTAAATCGCAATATAATAAAGTACTGTCAGAATACATTACTCTTGGTCACATGTCAGAGACCCAGCCCTTCGAAATTGTACGGAAAAATCAATATTTTTCATACTATTTGCCACACCATGGAGTAGTAAAACCCTCTAGCATGACAACAAAGCTGAGAGTCGTATTTAACGCATCCAGATCCACATCTTCGGGCAGATCGCTTAACGATGTTTTACACAAAGGCCCTACTCTACAGGCCGATTTACTTGGAATCCTTCTCAATTGGCGATTGTACAAGTATGTGTTCAACGGGGACATTGAGAAGATGTACCGCCAAATTCTTGTACACCCCGACGATAGACCCTTTCAACGCATTATTTTCCAACCAGAGGGCAGTGGTCCTTTGAAAGATTTCGAGCTCAACACCGTCACTTTTGGAGTTAATTGTGCCCCATATCTGGCTATCAGAACCCTTCAACAGTTAGCCAAAGACTGTGAACACGAGTTTCCATTAGCCTCAAAAATTTTACTCTCCGAAACATATGTGGATGACATCCTTTTCGGCGACCATACACTCGATGGTGCCAAGAAAGCCCAATCTGAAATTCGAATGGCATTGCAATCCGCGGGTTTTCTGCTCAAGAAAAATACCGCAAATCACGACGCGTTGCTCAGTGAAATCCCTCGAGATCACTTATTCAATGACAATTTTATCAAAGTCTCCGACTCTAGCGTTACCCACACATTGGGCATTAAGTGGAATGCCAATGATGATTGTTTCTCATACGACATAAACCCGCCTAATTCAGCCACTCAGATATCTAAACGTAGCATTTTATCCTACGCTTCGACGTTGTTCGACCCGGCAGGCTGGCTTACGCCAATAATAATTCAAGCAAAGCTACTGCTTCAATCCCTATGGCTGGAGAATCACGGCTGGGATGATAATGTCTCCCAAAACACTATCGATAGATGGAATGCCTTCATCCAAAATCTTCGAGAACTAACCCACATATACATCCCTCGCTGGATCCATTACAACCCAGATCTGGATGTACAACTACACGGTTTCTGTGATGCATCCGAAAAGGCGTACTGTGCGACAATATACATACGAACTGTATACCCCTCGGGAGTTATTCAATCCCATTTACTTCTGGCAAAGAGTAAAGTAGCCCCCCTTAAAAACCCTAAGCTTACCACGCCTCGAACTATGTGGCGCAGAACTGCTCGCTAAATTAGCAAAACACGCTCTCCACGAGACACGTCTTGGAAAACTGAGTCCTCTGTTATGGTGTGACTCTGAAATAGTTCTTGCCTGGTTAGAAAAACCTCCTCATACGTGGAAAACATATGTCGCAAACCGCACAGCAAGCATTCACGCAGAAAGTCCCAATGCGACCTGGAGTCATGTCAGGTCAAAGGACAACCCTGCAGATCTGGGAACGCGAG